TACACAAATTCCTATAGAAATCTTGTTGTTTGTAGTTCTTGACAAAACAAAAAAGTTTCCTTTGACTAACAAATAGAACAGATATTTCACTGAGATGAGACCACACTGATTTCTGTGCTGCACCTGCTTTGAGGACTTCAGTCTTTTTACTACCATGGAACAAGTAATAGATACAGTAAATCTCTTTTTTACATCTCTTTTTTCTTTTTTACTGTATCTCTTGCAGTAAATGCCCACCCATTTATACTAGAGAAACAGGAAGGAGACTCAGAGACCGCTTCAGACAACATGTTAGGGCTGTGAAGATTAAGGATCTCTCCAAGCCCATTGTTTCCCATTTCACCTCTGATGGCCATGACCGCTCTAATCTCTCCTTCTGTGTTCTCAAAAATGGTTTTCTGAACTCATACACCAGAAAGACTACAGAAACCCAAATTATCCTGCAGCTAGGATCATACCTTCCCCCTTCTCTTAACGACAGACTACTTTTCTTCTAAATTTTCTCCATTCATTGGAAGTTTTATTTCACACCTTTCTACATCTATCCTGACACACCTCTTGATTGGCCTCTCTTTCTGTCCCCTGCTCCCGCCTCTCGCTCCTCCTCTCTCCCAGCCTTTGTTCTCCCGGTACATTACCTTTGCTTACTGTCTTGTCTTTCTCACACCTGAAGAAGGCTCCACGGCCGAAATGTTGTGTTTTCTTTCTTTTTTTTTTCAGCATGGAATAAACCTATAACTTGTTCCTTTGCAGCCTACGCATGCTGATGCAGCTACCCACCTGAACTTTTTACTACCATTCTTACCTTCCACAAGAACAGAGAAAAATGGATTAGAGGGTGGGAGAAGAGGTCATATAACACAGTGTACGTTTGCCCTGGACACAGGTCCCTGTGTTTGAAACAAAGCTCTGGTGTAGGTTTGACTTTAGGTTAACCAGCTCGACATATGAGTCTCTCTCCAGGGAGTCTCCAGCCAGTCTGAATCAGACTCAGCAACACAAACGGGTAGTTGTGACAGACGTCAGTGTGAGAGCTATGTGGGGCTGCTTACATGTCTCGTGTTCTGTCTCATTTTTTTCCATTAAATGGGTAAGAAAGAATTGATTACTTTCATGCCTCAGGAAATGCTATATTGAAGTTGTTGTGTTCCCTTGAACACTGTAATACAGTGCTGTAGTCAGAAAGTGTAATTAGTGCATTAGGTATTTGTGCTAGTTATCCAATATACTGTACATTTTTATAATTATTTAATTCCAGATCAAAACTACAAAAAATGAAAAATACAAAATATCAGATATACATCTTAATCTGCTTTCTATTTTACCTATCATGTTAAAAATGTTGTGTAAGTTAATAATTAATACATTTCTTGCAGATATAAGAGATAAGTAAGTATATAAGTATGTAACACACTACTGAAGTAAACATACATGTACTCTACTGTAAATCGACAATTTCTAGTAAAACTAGTACATTGTGGCATTTACCTATAGTTTATATAACTACTGCTACAATAAAAAGTTTTACAAACTATAATACACATTTCAATAAATAACATGCTAGTAAATACAGTTACAGTACATTTGTAGGTTGAGCATTAATTTTAAAATGTCACTTGTGGTTTATTCTGTTGCTGCTGCATCATTGTGAAACTGTGTTTCTCCAATAGAGCTGTGGTAAGTTAGTATAATATTTTTAGTTGCGAACTTCAGTAATTGCTCACGAGACAGACAGGCAGTGCAGCCCAGTGGTTAGTTCAGGAAGGACAATGAGAGTTCCAGCTCTTTCTTTAAATCAGCTGATTCAAAATGAAAATAATTTACCTCTCAACAATAGCTGTTTTTAGTGGGTTCCAAACACAGTTTGAGAAGTCCTAGCGGTATGTATTTTGTATTATATGTATTGGATTATGAATTAAATGAAGAAATACAAGCTGGTGGCTATTCTGCTAACACTCAGCTAATACATACCACCAAGAGAGTCATTATATATAAGGTAACCAAGCAGTTAGGCTACAGTACACAAACCCTGCAGTGTAGAGCTCACACATTCAAATATATAATTCACGTATACTGTATATTAGTGATGTACTGGTATCTCAGATAAATCAACAAACAAAGTCATCAGCAAGTATTCCTGCTTCTAGCACTTGCTGGATTGCTGTAGAGGTTGCCACAAGCACTATTTCTGATTCATGTTTTCACAAAGCACATACACAAAGACACGGGAATGCACATGTTAGTCTGTGAAACGAGGGGAAATTGCTCCATTTAATTGTAGGAGTCCTTTGTATATTGTAAAAAATAAAGGACTTGCCAAGAGTTAGTCTGTCTCTAGCTGCCCCCCTCTGTCCTGCTTTGAAACATTTTTAACAGAGCCAGCTGAAGTCCCACTGGGTACTGATGTACTTTTCAGAGCAGCCTGTCCCAGGTGCTGGTGGTGCGGAGGGTGTTGGGGTCTGCTCTGCTCTGGGGAAAGCAGTACAGAAACTGCAGCCGTCTCACGCACCCGGCAGCAGCACTTAATGCAGTTAGAAGGATGCAAGCAGCAATCAGACACAAAACTTTAATAGAAGAAGTGGCCACAGCTACACTGCACACCCGCTTCATTCAATCTTTAAACACTTTTTATCCTTTGCATGTTGAGTCTCAACTAATTCTCTGTACTTTGAATTCTCTTTGACGCATTTACCTCTTTATCAGTCTACTTCTTCTCCTGTCTATACATTTTCTCCCAGACAAGCATACCAACCAAGTTCTGTAAGAACCATCTAATAACTGCAGTGCTCAATAACTCTGAAGCTCAAAGTTCCTTTTTTTCTCAAAATGTGTATCTATGTGGGATGCAGTGCACACCTACTCAGTTAAAGATCCAAATTGTACTCACTAAAAAAATACAACAGGCATGTACTGTTATATTCTTAATATTAAATCAATTATCTTATTTTTTTCAGCATATAGCTATGATTTTTGGTCATATTTCACATTTTGTTTGTATCTGATTTTCCACAATGCTGCACTTTTCAACTCCAATTTTTTTAAACATAACAATGCCTTGCTATGTACTATATCAGTCTTACAAGCTGTGCTGGACCAGTGGGTACTGTTAAACAATAAATACCCATGACTTTGAAACCCATTACCACTAAACACCTTGAAAAATGTGTAATTTCAGTAGCGGAACAGTGGGCTGCAATTACTTAATTTCACATTTTCTTTCCCCAGAATACTAGACACTGCAGTTGATACTTTTCAACCACAAGCCAACATGGGACTAACATCACGGGTTCATTCAAAATTATGTGAACTATAGAACAGTAATCGGCAAAGTCAGACATTTTAATGAAATGCATTGATCGCTTTTAAAATAAAAATTTAAATTGCTTTCCCAAAGAAAATATGTTTAAAAATGATAAATCAATTCCCCCAATCAATTCAAATTGATTTTGTATATCAGTTAATAAAACTAATACCTATGTTTACAAAGGTATTTACACATTTAGTTTACCAATGCAAAGCATCACTGTATATTATATTAAAGGTGTGCACATCGCTCTGCAATAGTTGTCGAAATTATTCTGTAACATTTTTAGCTGGAAGAAATTTTGCTTTATGTAGTGTTCATTTTTACTAATTTAAGCTTTTGTTTTGTGTATACTGTACTGAATATATTCAGAATTCATTATGCTTCAGCAGTTAAGCTCATTGCATGGTGCTTCAGTGTTTCTTTCTGAGCATTTAACATTTAACGTGTTACAGGAACACATTAAACAAAGCAGGGTGTCATTTTAAAGGCTGAACAATATAAAGAATTCTGTTTTTAAAGTCATGGTTAATTGTGCTTGAGTGTTAAAATGAAGCATTATGTGTGATAACTTTAAGGCATCTGCAACTTCATTATAGCCCTTTATCTAGCGAAGTGATATTCTATCTTTGCTTCTTCAGCTATATGTAATGCGATCCAGATTTTAGACTGTTCCAGGTTTGAATCCAGCTAAAAAAAACATTTGGAAAGCTTGGCTTAAAATACCAGTGGGAACTATTTCGTACATCATTTTAACAGACTACATTGGACCTGGAGGGTAACAGTAGTGTCCTGAAGTGAAGTGTGTGTATATGGTATGTGATTTGCCAGTGTATTGTATTGTATCGTTTTCGTCTTGAAAGTTTCATATAGACATTTACTTTTTTTACTTGGTTTTAGTGTACAAACACTTATACTGTATATGCAATGAATATTTTATGTGCTCAGTTTTATGTAGCTTAATCTCACTTTTCGTGAAAATAATTATTTTAGTGTGTATTGATTGAAAGGAACATTGCCTGTGGCTTGTAGACAACTCATTTGCCAAACTGTTTTGGAACTAGTAAATCGATAGATAATTATTGTTTGTCACCCAAAGTTGTGATCTTCCCAGAATGGCTTTCCTAAACAATGCAACACTTGAATGATACGCTGTGCAAATTATCCTTAAAGTAAGCAAATGCAGATTACTATGCACTGCACTGTATATCTATCAATTTTTAAAAATTAATTTCAGGTTTTTGTCTTTGTACTGTATACACTACTGTATATGTATTTACTGTACATATAGATTGTACTGTATATACTTCACATCCAGCACATTTAAAAATATTCAGCAATAATCATACTTGAAGGCTTTAATTAATATCTTTATACCAGTAACCACTGTGTTACCTAAACTATTTTTCCGCATATACAAAGTTCCAAAAAGAAATCCTGCATTACATAAAATAAATGCATATTTTAGATAAGCCCTTCACAAGCAATGATAAAAGAAAACTGTATTGCTCATATTGGGAAAACAATTGCCTCTCAGTCTCCAGAATGAGAGGAGTTAAAAGATGAGCCTTTTTATTGGCAAAAAATATATACATACATACAGAGAGTGTGTTTGGTTTGTGGAAGTGCAAAGCCTTTGTTCTAATTGGTTGTTAAATTGTGACAGGCAGGCTGTCCACTCCCCCTGTGCTGTGGCTGGTTGTGTGTATGTGTCTAAGTGCAGGCAGTTTAAAGTCTACCGAATGTGCTTAGAGTTCCTAATAGAGCAGGGTCTGTTTGTACACAGGGAGAAAGAGAGAGAGACCCTGTGTGCAGGGTGTACATTTGCACAATGGCACTGGACCCTGGGCTTCTGCCATTCATTCTGTGGACTATTTCCTTCCAAGCATCCTGCACCAGAAGCACCAACAATGAAGGTAAGCTCTGATGTACTGATAGTGAATAGTTTGTCACTTTTGCCTTCAGCGGGGATTAATGCGAATGTAAAAAAGCAAACCCAACACTTGCTGGCCATGATGTGCAGTTAGCTCCTGGCTAATGGCTAAACTTCCAGCCAGTTAGGTAAAGGGACCGCGCTGTTCTTTTTGCATGTGCAGCAGGAGCTGAGAGTATTTCTCCCTGTGAGAGTGGCAAAGTTCCCTGCACAAATATTTGGGTCAGTTCCACCTGAGACTGTGGGGTGACTGGGCCTGATGAAGACCAATGATCTGTGAGTGGTGAGCAGGTGCTGAGTGCCTGTCAGAGAGTCTGTTCAGTGAGTGTAGCAGTGTAGTATTAGGAGACTGAGATGTGCTGCCTGACTTGTGAGTGAGAGCAGGGAGAAATAGAATAGAACAGCAAGTGAGAGCTTTTATTAAGAGACGTACTATATCTGTCATTTGGTGCGAGTTTGAACTCATTAATTGCAAATCAAGAAACTGACCTTTCCTAGACTGAATAATACAGTATGTACTGTAACCCATTTACTGTAACAAAGAAGACAGCTGGAGCATCTCCTTCTGATTTCAATCTGTTTAGACATTCCTGACGGTGGTGTACATTCACTTTTTTGTATTCTTATTACTGTATATCCAGTGCAAAAGATTCTTCATCCCCTTTATTTTCAAGCCATTTCTTTCTGTTTAAACAATTTCCCTTACCATTGTTATGGGAGCAGATACTATGTTTATGCTCCTTTGAACTTTTGTTCTGGAGAAGTAAAAATCTAGAGCATGTTTTAAGAAGCATAAACGGTGAATACAGTCCTTAGTTCAACCTTTTGACCTCATCAGACAAATTCTTACCATCTTTACAGAAGCTTCACAAAAGTTTTACATCTCTGAGATCAAAACAGCAAATCGAAACAACAAATTAAAATTTTTACTTACATGTACAGTATTTTCATACAAATGGTATATACGTACACAATGATGTCCCTGATAATTGAGTGAACAACTGTATGTTGTAATATCAACAACTGTTGTAATATCGTATGTTTAGAGCTTCAAAAGAGTTTAATTTTTAATAATTTCATTTTATTTTGATTTAGTACAAAGTTGGATCAATAATACAGCATGAAACACAAATACAAATGATCTAGTTGATATGCGAATGACCTAATTCTGAACTTTAGCTAGAACCATGTACATATACAATTTGCACTGTATCAATGTCTGCGCAGAGATTATTGCTATTTTTTGTCAGTTATCTGTTATATAACATTCTTACATAATCTGCGTTCGCAACATTTTTCACAGCATTTTGGTTTCAATTGTTTCTTCCTTTTGGAACATCTTTCATTTTTCTCCCACATCTTCATTGTTTGAGCCGAGTCTTTAGCTACCTGTACGTACATGGTAACTGCTTAAGATTTCTGTCTCGTACTATGAGGGGACTCTGTATTACTCAGCCAAGGATGCTCTCCTGTTACAGATCAAGATAGTTTTATACTGCTGGAGAAAGGCCACTTGCATGCCTGTCAGAAACCATTGTCTCATGTCAGTTAGAGTGTTGCAGTGCTGCAGGTGGAGGGTGAAGATGTGTAAAGCCAGGCTTTGAAGACAGGTAAGCTCTCCGGAGCAGGCAGCTGTAGAGGAAGGTGAACTATTGTCTTCTCCTTATCCTTAGATCAACTTTATTTTTCCCAATAAGCTGCCACAATATTTTAATTTCATACTCTTACTGGAGGCTTCTGTTTTTTCTAGTATTTTATTTGCTTGACTTTTGTATAGTTTACTAAAGGTCATAGAGTCATTGATATAACTCAGTACAGCACAACAGTCCACATTCTTAATTTTAGGGTAGGATTAGATTAATGGTGAGTGTTATAATGGTGCTGACAATGACATTCCAATTCTGGCAACTATGAATGTTCTGTAAAAAATAATATACTATTCCTGAGCTTTTTCCTCGGTCTATTACACCTATGGCCGTTTGTCATGGCAAGATATATGGGTTCAGTTTGGTCATTTGAGTGTTAGTTTTAGAAGGACCAGAAAAAGTAATGGCACAGCCTTTCGGTTATACTGTTCTCAGGAGTGTGTGCGATATGGTGTAGATAGCAAGTACATCCATCAGCTTTCATTTTGAAATTTACCACTGCAGTTTACCACATACAATATTGTTAACTACAACTGCATAAGTGAAAATGTTAAATTGTTTAATTAATACAGGCTCCACCATTTCTCTGAGCAACTTAGTATATTAAAAGTTCTGTTACAATCAAGACTTTGCAAGAATAGAAATACTATTCCACTTTGCCACAACTGATAAGTGTCAAATACTCTAAGTGCTAAAAACTTATGGTATTTTAATATTCTGATTTAAAACTGTACCAGGAATTCCCAATATACTATTCCCATATACTAATATACTATATTCCCAATACACAGCAGAAAATATGTAAAGAAAAATGACAAAGGAAATGAAATTAAAGAATAAAGGTATCAAGTTGGCAGTATATTTCAGTGTTACAATTTATATTCCACATGTAGATGCTACTGTATAAATTACAGCATTCAAAACCTAACTAATTTCATTTATAATTAGTTTTTAGGCAGACTAAGGATATTTTTTTGTTTTTTTTATCAAGATGACCTTTAATTCAAGGCTACATACTAGCACTGTTTCCAAAGGAATCATTTGTATTTTATATTTACTCTTCTTATGCTATTCAGCATCCTTAACAAACATTGGAACAATGAGCAACTTCAGCCAAGTCTGAATGGCTATTTACACATCCGTAATAGATAACCTTCTATAAGATGGAATGATAGAGGTAATTTAATTAGGTTTGAATATTAGCTTACTCCACTTGGCTGAGGGGGCGACTCCTGGTCATAAAGATGAAGTCATTTGAACCCCCGACCAGGTGGAATGAGAATGAGAGAAGGAGCCACTGCAGTGCTGATGGGGAGGGAAGGAGGCAAATTGAGGAACTCGGGGACAGTGCATTAGAAACCGGGTACTTGAAGTGGACTAGGGTTGTCCCCCTTCCCAACCTTCATTAAAACCTCCATTTCAGATCACAAAATTTAAACATGACTGCTAACAGCAGCATTATTAACAGTTTCCAATTATTTCTATCAAGAGCTTTATGATCACAATTATTTGGACATTATCGAGGCATGGAATAGAATAAAATAATTTTCTTAAGATATTCTAAAATTCTTTGTAATCATTTATAACTGACAAATCAGTTGATTTACATATTATTAAAAATAAGAGATGCAAGGACAAGAAACATGCACTGGACAGTATAGTACTAAATTATTGAAGAAGAATTCTAGGTTGAAATGTACATCTAAAAAGGCAATTAAAACACACTGTATTACAATTGTGACCATTCAATTTTATGTATTGGCAGTGGTATAAATTTCAATTTGTCTTTAATGCAGAATGATTGTCCATTTATAGAGGCATAACAAATTCAGGCTTTGTACTGTATACTGTATATTGCTTGCTGCAAGTGTATGATCTTTAGAGCCAATGAATAATCTTTATTATTTACAGTAAATTCATATAAAAAGAGTATAATAAGTACCTGCTTATCAGCATACTGTAATGTGTAATTTGACTACTTTCAATTTAAATCCTAAATGAAATGTTGTTCTATATTTTACAAAGAAAAAAGAATCAAAGACAATGGGTATAATTCAGAAAAGGTTACTAGGTAATACGGTTCAACTTTTCAACTGCTAAGTCTAAACACATTAGAACTCTTTGTGAACAAGGCCAGATAAATCTTGTCTTGTGTCTGCTCTCGTGTGTATTTGTGTACCTGTCAATCCCTCTGTCCACCTTTTTCTGAAGATGAAAAGATCTACAGTTCCTCAAGATGCATATGTCTCCCCTGGCAGATCACTGTCTGATATAAAAGATGATTTCTTTTTTCTCATTTTATTTTATTTATTTTATTTGGCACTATCCTGTTCTTACTAAAATGTTGTCTACGATTCACACGCACATAGCTTTTTAATACTGTAACTATAAAGGAAAATTGCTCAAAAACAGCACAAACTACTGTAATTGATGTCACAAGATGTACAGGATATGCAGTATACATTCATATATATGCCGGTAAATGTGTTAATAAGGATTTATTTCTATATCAAAGCTTACATTTGACTGTTTATGCATGCTGCCAAATGATATTGCCAAGTGTAATTACCGATTAATTCCCTATAAATAGTCTCCTAATGAATTTAAATTCCTAAACTATTTGTAAATGGTCCTGTGCAATGTCTTAACTGCAGCTACTCAATTTATGGTATGGAATGAATTCGTTTTCATGCTTGCTTTGGTTGGAAAGCAATTACAAGGGTGACACGGATAAACAGAGAACAGCAAGCTTCAAAAAAGAAAGAAAAAAGTCACGGGCTGAGTAGCTGTCTGAGGCTCATAGGAAAGGCAGTTTAATGTGAGCTAAGAGTCTTAGTCCCTGGCATACGAAGAGTCATGCAGCTGTAGTTGTAGTCTGAGGAAGACAGGCAATGACATGGACTGATTCTCAAATCCTAAAATCAGGGATTTTAGAGCCTGGCCATGGAATTAAGGATTGCAAATTGGCCCCAGATTCCTGAGTAGCACATCCATTGCTAGTTCAAATCCAGGCTATGCCCCTGACTGAAGAAGGAGGATGCATGTATGCTGTGCTCTACCCTTTCGTGATGATGTAAATGTATGGCTGTAATGGCATCTTTATTATACACTAAGAAATGCTTTTCCAAGCATATAGGGAAAAGGGAGGAAATATATTACCAGTTGATTTATCTAGCTTTATATGTACATCTAAAATCACCCTGCCTAGAGACTGTCAAGGCAACATTTAAGTGAATATCATCGGCTTCATCACAACATAGCATAATTTGTGAATCCATCATCAAAAAGCACCAGGCAGCCTGTTGTGATACAACCAAAAATCAGTAGTTTAGGAACA